GGGGGGGGGGGGGGGTGTGTCGTTATCTGCCACTCCGCCGCGCGCGGCGACGGGCGCTTCTTTTTCTCAACCCAAGTCATCCTTTCGACTGGAATGCCGGACTTCGTGTAAACTCCGTCATCGTGGACATTCATGACTATTTTCTGTTTCTGTTCATATTTTCTCCATCACTACCTAGACCATCGTCATTTGCAGATGCGACGTCGCACGCAAAGTCCACCAGCGCGGTGAATGACGATTCTCTTGTCATATGCCCAACTTCACACACGTGGCATCCCAGAAAATCTCTTCTCAGAAAATTTTCCCGATACCGGGATTCCAGCTAGAAACATCACAGCTGTCTTTTAGGTACAGCCTAAAGATATTGCCAACATGCTGGTGGTTACTTTCGGCAACACAGCTTCATAAAATAGGATGGGTCGAAAAGTACCTTGAGCTTTGGGAGAAATTTAGGCTTTGAAACCTTCCTAGAAGCTAAATATAGTTGTCTGAAAAAACAGCAGGGGTGAAAAAATTAATAGTGTTTCCTGTTTTTCTCTCAGAACAGTTGATCAGAGCGTCGCAGAACCTTCTTTCCAGACTAAAAGTAGCCTTTCAACGAATCCTCTCCATTCCGAATGGTGAGAGGTGATAGGAGGAAAAGCTGATATCTGTTGTATCTGTTGGTAAATACAAGTGAGAATTCGGACAAACACGCTTTTTATTCACTGTGTGCGTGTACAAGTAGGAATCGTCAGGAGTGTCACATATGGAATTCCAGGGAGATTTCTACTTCCCCCCACTATTTCGCTCCTGCGAGCCTTGCCTTCAGCATTTGAAGTCAATTACCCACCAGTCGTTATCACGGGCTTTCCCCTTCGCGATACGGTAAGCGAAAGTGGGAGGCTTCGCGACTACCCAGTAACTAATTAGGCAAAGGAGCGATCCTGCGAGTCGGTTGGGTCAGTCTTCTGGAGAAGTGTGAGCGATACAATCAATATTTTTCATTACCATCCAACAAGATTCAAGTCACCACTGCAGTGTTTCTCTTCGGCAGTACTTCGAGAGCATTATACGTGAGCATTATACCATTGCTTTGACCTTTGCAGTCCTTTCTAATTCCATTTCATAGAGGCTGAGCTCGGCTAAGATTAACGCTCCACATCATTACTCAAGGCTCTTTTGAAGTAAATTCTCACATGTAGAGCATTTAAAATGCGATTCCACGCTTATATTTGTTCACAAACTGGGGTGTGTGGCGATTCTATCGTCGGTGATAAGTAGGTCGCCGCGCTGGTGGGCGCTGACAGGAGTCTGCGTCTCGGTGCTCCGTTGAAATTGTTAAAATGATCATTCAAGCCATACTGTTTATGTTAATCCTGTACTGCTTGTCCCATTTTCCTATGATGATCAATGATTGTTTTTTCCGCATTCAAAAGTAAAGGGGTGTAAGACTGGTCCCACGTATTTGTTTCGAAATTACTGATCCAATTTTGGGCTTTTCGGAACTTGTGAATACGCGGTCTTCGAGACTCATTTGTATGTCGGTAATGCAACTCCGAATTGTCGCACCGCGAGACGCCGCGACGCGATGTGCGCGACGTGACCTGACTTGCCGACGATACAATCGCCGGGGTCCCCACAAACTGTCTGCAAGATAGAATGAGTCGTTCTGTGAGATCTCACATGGGCGCACGTCCAAAAATAGGAGCGACCAGGGCCGTCGTTGACACCTCTCGATCTTCGTTGGATGTTGCGAGGCAGCGCATAGAGATTACGTGTGGTTGTGATCAAGTGTTCACATGACCTACGGTAGTCAAAAACTCCTTAAAGGATGAGCTGCACCTCAATGTTACACCCTTTGTTCCTGCTGATGAATCTCATAGCGTGAGTTGGTATGCATTGTCATGGATGATACTCACTCCTTTCAGATGATCGACCTTTTTTACAAAATTTTGTCAGACTTGCATCCGTACAATGTGCGCTATCTATTTTATATGGTAACACCGAACGAGACAATCTATACACGTGCAGAAGATGTCCCTAACTTTTACCTTGATCCGGTAAGCAAAAATCAGGCGAAATTTCCAATGTAAGATGTATGGTTGACATCGGCGCAATCAGCCGCGTTGGTTTCTAGGAATATGGAATGAGCCCAGGCGCAGTGTTTTCTGTACCACCGGCTGTATTCTTCCTGAATCGATCACTTGCCGATCACACTGGTGGGGGAAGGTAGCCAGGAGGCGAGCTCACTGCGCCCCTCTTGACACTGATTCGACTGATTGCGTCGTTATCAACTGAAATAAAGGGCCTAAACCTAGTGCCGCTATAGGGCACCCCTTGGTGCGCAATGCAGCATCAGTGTGAGAATGCTCGCTTTGCGAACGAAATAGTCTTTCATCATGATATATGAAATCTAGGGGACGACGTGGACGTTCACATTGATTCTGTTGGAGCTTTTGATATTGGACAAGAGCAAGTACGCATTCAACGATACCGTCACCTCTGTAAATGCCGGAATCTTATATCTGCTTTTGAAGTGAGCATTTAGTTTTTTTCCTAGCCTTTTTTTTCTGCTCGGAACCCCATCTGTTGTGCATGTTTTTAATCTATTACGGGGACCATTCGTCAATGGTGAGCCCGCTCCATTTGCTAGAAATCCCAATCGCAGCCTCCAGCCACCTGTAAATGGCTCGTGGCCTTTAATTGCAAATTACTCCATCCGGGGTGTAGGACTTTCTTAAAAGATCTCACTTCACACCTATCATGCCTCTCGGGGAGACTCGCCTGCGGTGTTGCCTGACTTAATTGCTCTCTCACTAGCTCCTGACCTTTCCTCTACTTGACGATTACATCATGATGAGTGATTATTTACTGCTGATTTTTCAGCAACTTTAATAGAACTAAGGACTACAATTGAAAAATTTGAATCACATGAAACAATCAAAGATGAAAAGCATGCTAAAATGAATTAAAATGAAACACATAAATTAGGCTTAGATGGTAGTGTTAGTAACAAATCTAGACATTTTTCGACAATATTCTTCCGCTTCGATTTGAGATGCGCCATTTCGAAGGCATACAAGCATCGAAGTTAAAAAAAACGTGCACAAAGGGAAAGGGAGTGGTGTACTGCCGGAGACATCATGGAAAATCAGAGAATTGGTGGGAACGGAATAAAGGGAGGAGTTTTATCGTTCATGCTCTACTCTGCGTTACACAAACAACATTGCTAAAGATTTCCGCTGATCAGCCCGCTTAAATACTGATTAGCGACGACCTTTATATAGGTGTGAGGTTGATAAAAGAGATGCCTAACAGTTTAACGTAGTGGCGGTCATATTTAACGAATTAACCTCCCTATAGAGGGGCATCAATAAAGTCCTTGCAATTGCAGCGAGTTCTTGGCGCAAGACACATTCAACCGTCAAGTAATTACAGAGCCTAGAAGTTCAGATCATTTGGGATACCTTCCATGATGAAAGCAATACGAATTTTTTCAATACGTGCCCCTTTTTTCCTATTTGGATTGCAGTAATTTCATGTTGTGTACGTCTGCATTTCAGTTGTTGTAAGTGGTTAAATGTGTTCTTGACATTTTAAATTTATGAAAACATTTTTTTTCTGACATTTCCTACGTTTACTTTTTTTTTTCCTTCTACTTTCCATGTTCAGTTTGGCTCAGTCGTGTCTGTAGACGAGAGGTCAGGAGTTAGTGAGAGAGCAATTAAGTCAGGCAACACCGCAGGCGAGTCTCCCCGAGAGGCATGATAGGTGTGAAGTGAGATCTTTTAAGAACACCACACACCCTCCATCCGGCGTGTCATCGCACGCATCCCAAGAGTTCCAAGTAGGGAACTTTCCGATCCGAAGAAAAACTGACCGAGAATCCCCTCAAGCGATGAAAACGGACTCCACAAACGCGAACATCTCGAGAGCGCTCAAAAAGGTTGGATCTTCAGCCGTCAGAACCGATTCCTCTCTGCTGCTGAAAGCGTGCAAGACTTCTATAGATGTTTGTTACCATTTCTTGTAGTATAACAACATCAGATATCATGAAGTGCCATTCATGCAAGTTATGTGCTTTTCTCAGAATCTGTTTCTCTCTATTTCTGTGACCTTTTCCGTTCCACCCTTTATGCATCCTCTCTCGTCAGCTCTTTTTCGTCTCCATTTCTCGATTATGTATTTGCATTTCTTCTGATAGCTTGTTGCTCGCATCGGCATTCAGCTTTTCCTTGTCATCATTCGTCAGATTTTGCCGGTCGCTAGACATTGCACGCAGCCTTCCTGTGCCTTTGTTTCCCTAGTTGCGATCACTTCTTTTTCTGCCGCTATTCCCATGATCGGTCAAATCCATCTAATGTAACCCTTGTTCTCTTTACCTAGCAAGCATCCACGTCTTCCTCGTTGCACAGAAACGGCTGACTACTATTAGGAATTTGTAACAAATGTCAGGCTTTCTACATATATTCCCGTTTCATCAAACATGTGATCCCTTACAATTTCAATTTAGAATTGGCGGTCGCGATGTTTCGGCATTATTTTATCAGAAGGTGTACGACATGTTGCACATTGTAGATCTGCCGGATTCATCTTTCACATGGATACTTTGCTTATTCACACAGGATTTGATATTCTATTTGTGTCATCGCGCTATACATGGTAAGTGTACAGTTTGAAGGAGAACAGTGGCGCATCTGCCTTGAGGACGGACAGAATTGATTATGATTCGATGAAAAACGTTCATAGTGGAGCGATTGAATTTGTTTCCTTAATTTGTTCGATACTGGGTGGGTATTGTTGGCAAGGTGCATAGTCTGAATGTGATGATGAAATACAGTCTTGTATGCAATGCTGGAACGTGTCAGAGAGTGGCGCTAGTGTTGTCACGACGCTAGCAGGCTTTCCACCTAATATTGTTGCTTATCCTCCTTTAAAGGCTGAGCCCGCATTCAAATTTGATGAGTTATGCGGCTAACAAGGTAGCAAGTAACCCTTAGTGAAGAAAAATCAGAAAGAAATCATAGGAAAGGCTCTATATAGAACCCCTTGCTTAACTGAGGTTGTACGTGCTCAAGGCGAAGGTGCGGTCGCACGAGTTCTCACTTGTTGATATCAGCTGTTTTCCCTTATCACCTCACTCTCACCACACGTGGAGAGAAGCAGCAGCGAAACAACCGCACCATCAGGTAACCATTAGGAATGAATGGAGGGCGGTGCCAATGATTGTAGGTTGGGCCAATGAGAAGAACGACGGCATCGTGGGCTCCTCACTCGTTTTTGCGCCGCGAAAGTGGTGTAGTTGTTGCCTCTGCGGACCTGACTACCTGCTCACGAAGGGAGAGGAAAATCTCAACTGAACGCGGACGCTGCCTTTAAGAAATAGAGAAGAACGGCTAACACCGCTACAAACTCATCCCTTCCCCTACTCCTGATCTCCGCAACGTCCGCAGTGAAAAGGTATGCAGAAATGCCAGCAACTCTCCCAACTGAAAAAAATTCATTGACTCGCTCAAGTCAAACCGCTCTCTTCTATCCAAAGATGTTACATACTGCTTTTCTAAGCAGTACGCAACATTTTCGGTATTAATCCAATCCCAGGGATTTATGTGGTCGCAGGTCAGGTTGTGAGAAATTTCTTTATTGACTTTTCCCCAATCCCAATCTTCCCCCCTTCACGCCTGCTACATACATTCCTCCCCATAGTTGGCGCCGTTGCGAAAGCTGTATTATTATTGTTTACAACAGCTTAAATAAATTATTTGATGACGACCTCCCTCCAACCCATCCTGCAGTTTTGCTTGAAGCACAGGAAAAATTTCTTGAAAAATTGGGTGGATTGGAAGGAGGTGAGAGGGATGGTGGGTAGGGCAGAGAAGGGCTCGTATCATATATGGAACTTTTCGGTGAAGATTAAGGTTATGCTGGCACCGTAGGTTTACACATCACATATTCCGTGTTTTGATCCCAAGTTTGTATGGAAGTCATGCAATAAAGTAAAATCACGAAATATTTGGAAATAAAGTCTAACCAATGTACGTCCCCACTTCATCTTGCTTATCATGTACAAAGCATGCATATGGGTATCTTTTCTTCAGAAGCTGGTGTGTTTTGGTCGTTTCATCAGATGCATCATTCTTCTGAGTATTTCAATCTCAGTACTGGCATACGTGAGGCAGCTATACAGGTTTTCTCGTTCTAATTTACAGAAAAGTATTGGAACAGTACTTTTGCGCTGATTAGCAGTATACGCATGTAAACAGCTTGATGCAGCACGTAGCCTATGTGCGTATAGATGAACTGGTTAAAGGCAGTTGGTACGATAATTTGGTACTCCGCCTAAAATGCTAGCAGATCGCTATATGGTAGGAAAATGGCGAAAAAACGAAGTGAAACGGTCGAGAACTGCGAAGGGATGCCTTCATTCTAAAAAAGCATCAGGTACGGTCGTTCACTTGTGAGCGGGCGGGCGTGGTGGGCGTTCGGGACGGTATGTTGTGGTTTGATAGGGCCTTCCCTGGGAAAGACGTCAGCAGCGCCTGCTCAGAGTCGCGGAATCCCGTCCTGCCGGGCGTATTAACCACACTCGTCTTTAGGGACTTATCGTGCCAACTGCCTTTGAATGTGGGCTGCTACTGCTGTTGCTCATTCAACTTACAGCGCAATAATGTCTAAACAACAGAAGTCTTCACGGCCCGATCTCCATCCACCTCCTGGGTATGATCTCGCGTTCAGCTATTTATTTTTAAGAGCAGGCAATTAGTAGTAAAGTGAGCATAATCAGTCAATGACTACTAGTAGTGAAAAAATTCTTGCAGTTTTCGAACTCATTCTTCAACCCATCGTTCGGCGTAAAATTTAAAATTCATGCTGATGAAACTGAAGGAAGAACGAGTAAATATTTACACTTGAAAGGAAGAACCCCTTGTTGCCTGGTCCAAACGAATCGCGGTGAAAACCTTGGGTCTGCTTCAACCGCTTGCTTGTTGAAGGCCGGGGGTTACAAACGATAAAGTTAATGAATGCAGCCGCAGCATAACGTGGGGATCAACGCCCTCCCCACTGAAAAAAGGGGCTGTGATAGAAAGCGCTTGCTGCTTTTCTTTGAGTTCTTGACATTATTTTCAACTGTCAAGGGCTCCCCAGACCCACGGAACTGTCCTGGATCCCGTCCGCTGTGGACTACCAGACCATAATCTACATTCCATACCGTTCCAGGTTGGGAAAGCGGCGAGGACCTTGATTCTTGCCCAATCATTAGCCGGGTTGTCGCCGGTTTTCGTAGGTCATTCACTCATCATCACAGGTCAAAATACGCTCTAGAAATGGTCCACTTCTGTTGTGCAAAGACAGGGAGAGGAAGACCTCGAAAGACTCTCTCTCCAGGTCTGACTCAATTCACAGGTCATTCGCCTACCAAGCTTCTGCAACTAAGCGATCTCCTGCATATGGGCTGAATGGCCATCTCGAGACATTCAATCTTGATGTAATTCCATTCAGTTCTGATTTCATTTGACTATTGTTCGTAATTTCCGCACTAAGTTGTGTGGCTGCGACCAGAGAACTTTCGAAAAACTTTCCAAAGTACTAAACACTAAACAAAGTCAATCGAGCTGCTAGATAAGTAGAAAATGCTAA